TGGCTGCAATCATCTAGTCGTACATGGTCGACATTTGTCTCCAATCGTGTTGGCGATATCCAACAATTAACCACTATACAAGACTGGCATCATGTATCCAGTCAGGACAATCCAGCTGATCTTTTATCCAGAGGCATATCTCCGGCTGCATTGCCACATGCGCATCTTTGGTGGTCGGGGCCCGCTTGGCTGAAACTTGACAAGGGGCAATGGCCTTAATTTCCATTCACTATCAACAAATGAGATATACCTGAATACAAATCTTCTGCTATCACATCAGCTACTGCTACGCTGCCATACTTTGATATTTTCGAGCGTTTCTCAAGTTTCATGAAACTTGTTCGAATCGCAGCATACATCTTTAGATTTTTCAACAAATTAAAACAAAGAATCAAGCCTGATCAGGAGCTACAATCTGCTAACAATAAAACTCTTGTCATAACTCCTGATGAAACGGACCACGCCATCAAGATTTTGTTGAAAATAGTTCAAAGACTGCATTTTCCTAAGGAATTGGACTCGCTTTCCAGACAACAAAATCTTAACAAAAATAGCCCAATCGTACGATTAAATCCGTTTATCGATGCAGCAGGAATTCTGAGAGTAGGAGGTCGACTCAAATTATCGCATCTCCCGTACAATGCCAAATATCCAGCTCTATTGCCTGGAAATCATCCGTTTTCTCGTCTCATCATCATACACGAGCACGAGAAACACTTTCATGCAGGGCCCCACGCCACGTTATCTGCTGTTCGACAAAATTATTGGCTCATAGCTGCAAGGGACGTTGTACGACAAATTACTCGCAAATGCATTGTTTGCTTTCGAAGCTCACCTAAGATGGCATCCACGCTAATGGGGAACCTTCCCGAATCCAGGATCACAATTCCCGAGCGTCCTTTCGAAAATTGCGGAGTCGACTACGCGGGTCCTCTCTACTATAAAGAAGGCTTAAGAAAAACTTCTAAGCTATTAAAATGTTATATTGCAATATTTGTTTGCTTCGCCTCAACAGCTGTTCACATTGAACTAGCAACTGATTTATCCACTAAAGCATTTCTTAATGTTTTAAAGCGTTTTATTTCTAGACGAGGATGCCCAACTATCATTCATTCGGATAATGGCTTAAATTTCAAAGGAGCTCAAAGAGAATTAAACGAGCTAGCCGCATTGTTCAAAAATCAAGAAAGCCATCAACAGATTATTAACTACGTGTCCTCTAAAGGAATCAGATGGCGCTTCATACCCCCTAGAGCGCCCCATCATGGTGGACTATGGGAAGCTGCCGTCAAGGGAGCCAAACGTCATCTCTATCGAGTTACTAGAGAGGCGCATCTAAGATACGAGGAGCTAGAAACACTAGTTATCCAAATTGAAGCGATTCTTAATTCGCGTCCTCTCACACCCGTTTCATCTGACGTGGCCGACCTTACGCCACTTACTCCAGGTCACTTCGTAATCGGAGCACCATTGACATCGTACCCTGAACCATCATTGGAAAGAATCCCGATTACTAGGCTCTCTCGTTGGCAACGGGTGGAGCAAATACGTCAACACTTTTGGCAAAGATGGTCAAAGGAATATCTGCATTATTGCCAGCAGCGAAATAAGTGGACAATTAAGGAAAATCCATTACATGTCGGACAGATGGTCCTTCTAAGAGAGGATTCTGCTTCGCCTCTTTCTTGGCCTCTCGCTAGAATCGTCGAATTACATCCCGGTAATGACAACATTGTTCGTACAGTCACAATTCGCACATCGTCTGGCATTTATAAGCGTCCCATTACACGATTATGCGTTCTTCCCTTTGACAGTAACTAAGCTCGTATCATTTCATTAATCTACACTATTATTTTGTACTTTTGAATTGCGTAAACATAACATTATTTGTTGAAAGCCGAAGCTTTCAAGGGCGGCGGTTTGTACGCGCTATGCACGTTTACACTTTTGTATTTTCGCTCGCTTTGCCACGCTCCCTCCTTCTGAAAAGAGCGCTACCTGCGTTCCCCTTCTCCTCCGCGTTCGCTTATCAGCGTTCGTTTCTGCGTTCGTTTGCGTTCGTTCGCTTCCGTATCTGTTCGTTCGCCACTTCCGTCTTCTTCTTCCTAGTTCGTTTTCGTCCAAGCATGCAGCAGCATGATTTTTCTTTACGCTTATTATATAGTCGTTTAAGTTTGCACTAGTTCACCTTCTGTGTTCTACGCTTGTCAAGCATGCACATGCATGAGTTTAATAAGAATAAATAAGTATCATTATCAACTATGTTTTCGTGTTGCTTCTTGCCAACACTGGTCCTTCGAGCATTATCACACGCTGCATCAAGCATAGCCAATTAATACTTGAGCCACAAGGCTTTCATAAGAGAAAATAGCGCTACACATAGCGCATAGAGGCACATGCCCGCACATGAGTCTTCTAATAATTCAATGTCTTTCATGTAATTTAAACCTTTTCTTTGTTCTTTTATATGTATTACTTCTGAAATAACCTTTTATTGTAGTTATGTTCTATATCCATGATTATCCCAATCAAAAGTATGTTTGGACTGAATAATATGTTCAGAAATCACTAAATGCTTAGAAGAATTTGAATCATATGTTATGTTCTAAGTCTAGTTTGCAGTTGTCTTCTTGTTTGTCCAACGTATCTCATATTCCTTACAATTTATTTTATAAACCACATGGCTTTTGTAAATGTTTTTTTGTTGTCTTTTTTTACCTTAATAATTGAACGGTAAGTAATTGATTTAACAGATCTATTGATAAATGAAGTGGTTTTTTCAGAAATATCTTTTACATATATGGAATCACCAAGAAATCTTTCTTTTTTATTTTGTTTTTTGTAAATCTGTTAACATCAATTGTTTTATTTTCAACTGACAAATTTTTCTATAGTTTATGGCAATAAAAATATATTTAAGAGGATAACCGTTGTTAATTAGCATGTTTACACAATTCTATATTTTCTTGTAAATGAAGGATGTGACAATAGAATAGCTGTATTCAATAAACCAAAAATGGTTCCTATTTTTTAGCAATTTGGATGGTTTGAGCGAAAGGTAAATAACGTTCTGAGAAGGTATTTTTGTAGTACCAATCTATAATTATTTTGTTATCCTTTATAATCAACGAAATGTCCAAAAAATGTTTTTCCTATTATCTGGCTATAATAGGCATTGAAAACGATGAGATTTTATTGAAGATTCCGCTAATATTCCAAAAGAAGAATTTATGAATACCAATTTCAATAGGCAAAAACCACGGTTATTCTCTTGAGTACATTTTTATTGCCATAAACTATAGAAAAATTTGTCAGTTGAAAATAAAACAATACAGATTTACAAAAAACAAAATAAAAAAGAAAGATTTCTTGGTGATTCCATATGTAAAAGATATTTCTCAAAAGGCCACTTCATTTATCAATAGATCTGTTACATCAATAAGTTACCGTTCTTCAAAAAAAGACAACACAAAAAAACATTAACAAAAGCCATGCGCAGTGTTGTGCATAGATGATTTTAAAATTAGCTAGATAAAGATAAGATGAAAATTTGGAAATTTATCTTAGATAAGATAAAGATGATTACATTTAAATTAATCTAGATAATATAGATAAATTTATCTGACAATTCATCTAAAAAATTCCAGATAATTTTTTATTTTTAAGACTATTTATAAATTAAGAATCAGTTTTTTCTCAAAATAATTAAAAAATCACGGTGGTCCTCGATTGAATTCAACCCTGACTTTCCTGCACCTCTGATTTTCCTTCTGGAATTGGTTTTGGAACATTTCAGGACCATTTTGCAATAAATATTAAAATCGAAGAGTGAGCACTTTTTTTTAAATCGAGTTTTTAAGTTTTAATCCATAGTTTCAATATAATCATTTCAAGCGTACATGTGGAAGGTAATTAAGTACTGAACGAAATGTAATTATTGTATATATTTTCTTCGAATTAAATATATATGTAACAAATAGCAATTAGTTAATTGAAACTAAAATATAAAATGAAGAACTTACTATACTTATATATTTATGAACGCATATAACACGTAACCGCGCGATTGTTTACGTACAAAAAAAAACACACACACACACACACCACCACACCCATCCACACATACTCACACATACACATACAGGCACACGCACAAACGCATGTAAATATATAATTTTAAAAAATATGCAAAATAATTAAAATTCGTTCACATTGAAACATAAAAACTCGATTTAAAAAAAAGTGCTCACTCTTCGATTTTAATATTTATTGCAAAATGGTCCTGAAATGTTCCAAAACCAATTCCAGAAGGAAAATCAGAGGTGCAGGAAAGTCAGGGTTGAATTCAATCGAGGACCACCGTGAAATATTAAATTTTACAATTTTAATATGTAGATAATACTTCGTTTGTCTCTTACAATGTCTCTCACAATTTTCAAAAAAATAATGAAGAACACATAAAAATTCTATACAGTCCTTTTCCTCTATATTAGTTGCATGAAAGCAAGCATGTCATAATCATTACGGTTATGAATAATAGTGTATCTTATAATATTAATAATAACATTCTTTTAAATATAGTGAAAGACACAGGTCAAAAACTTTTTTCGATTTCGGATTAGTGTCATCCATGAATCGAGCATCGCGCACTACGATAAAACATCAACGAAGTGAGAAGTAGGAACAGTAGAGCGTAAATACCGACACGATACATTTCGATTTCGAGCAAAAAAAAACACCGACTTTGGGCAGCTCTGGGTTAATCAATCAGAATTGAGTGTCCTAGTGCAGGAATAAAAAGATCACTTGAGAGCAATGTGAATGATTATATATGCTATATTAGATGCACTCACTCTCTTCCTGAGGCTGAAAATTTTTCTGTAAACATTAACTGCATAGAAGAAAAAATTATAATATTTTCACATTTTTAGCAATGTAAAATATGAACCAAAGTATCTAAACATTATTCTAGATAAAGATGATACTTTTTTTCATCTAAAATGCAGATAAAGATAATTAATATTTTTATTATCTAGATAAAGATGAGATGGCATCAAAATTTCATCTAGATGATCATCTAGATAATTTTATCCAGATAAGATCGAACACTGGCCATGCGGTTTATAAAATAAATTGTAAGGAATATGAGATGACATACGTTGGACAAACAAGAAGACAACTGCAAAAGAACATAATATATGATTAGATTATTCTAAGCATTTGGTGATTTCTGACATTATTGAGTAACATACTTTCGATTGAATTAATACAATTACATTTTATTCACGTTTTGACTTTGATTAACCTTTAGACAATGAGATTCTCGTAGAGAGACAAATTTCCGTTATAATCAAAATATAATTTTTGGACATATTAGATCAGAGCTATATTGTTTCCGAATTGATGGAAGAGATTTATGACAATTGAAATAAAGAATGTTGTAGCTGATTTTTGATAGTTATTGAGTTGACATTCCAAATGTATTTTATAACCGTAAATGTTGTATAATATTATTACACTGAAGAGACTGCGAGTCAAAACGTTTGTTATTTTTATAAATATTATTATATTAAATATCTATTATACTGAATAATAATATTATATTGAAATCTAATTTTTTGCTCGTAATTGATCTTATCTAAAATTATATTTTTTTTAAATTTATCTATTTTTATAGAATAGAACAGGCGGTTCTTTAATTTTGTATAGACTATATAATAATAAATAGTGGACACTTAAAATGACTATTGAATAAATAAGTAATTTTATATTATATACATTTATATTTTTAAATTTCTCAAATATTTTAATTATTATCTATGTGTGTCCAAATTTTGGGGTAATAATAAACATTTCTAGAAAAAAATTAAAGATAAAAATGTTTATTTTTGAAAAATTATTACATTGTAAAGGTATAAAATAGAACTAATTATTGGGGTTTTGAATACAGTTGTCTTTCTATTACTGTTCATGTAAGGTCCCGCGCACAATTGAGGAAACAAGTAACCTATCAGAAACCGTATATTTCTGTGTAACTGGTATCTGATATAGGCTAATATCTTATCTATTTCTGTTCCTCTATTGTACGCAGGGCCTAATGATATTAATAATGTATCAATAACTTTTGTTTAGTATCGATGTTTGCAAATAATAATAATAATATTGAAATTTTGTTTTAGCGAATCAATCAGGCGGTGCATCGCTTGATGCAGAAGAAGAGGCGCAAGGAGCGAAAGCAAATGTATGCCAGCAGTATGTACGTACAACCAACGTGCACACCGCCGGTATACACGATGCCTGGACCGGTAGGATATGTGCCACCAACGGAGTACGCTGCCACCATACCATCTGCACCTTACTCCTCATTGGCAGGATACATGCCGGCACCAACGGGGTACGTCCCGGCACCGACGGAGTATGTCCCGGCACCGACGGGATACGTGCCGGCACTGACGGGATACGTGCTGGCACCGACGGGATACGTGCCGACACCGACGGGATACGTATCGGCATCTACGGGATACGTGCCGGCACCGACAGGATATATGCCGACACCAACTTATGGCTACAGATTATAAAATAGAATTAAGTATAATATAAATAAAAGTATAAATAAGTAAAAATAGTAAGTAAGTAATAGTATAGTAATAGTATAGTAAGTAAGTAAGTAAGTAATAGTATAGTAATAGTATAGTAATAGTATAGTAAGTAATAAGTATAAAAGATGTGCCGGCACCAACTTATGGCTACAGATTATAAAATAGAGTATAATATAAATAAAAGTATAAATATAATATAATTAATATAAAAAATAAGCATACAAAAAAGTAAGAAGTAATAAATAATAAGTATAAATAAGTAAGTATAGTAAGTAATAAGTAAAAATAGTAAGTAAGTAATAGTATAGTAATAGTATAGTAAGTAATAAGTATAAAATATTAGTATAATTTTAATTTTTATAATTTTATAGTTTGTATAAAAATATATCTTTTTTTTTCATTCATTATTTGTAATATTTTTATTACATAATAAAGCCAAGTGTAATTTCCTTATTATACTCTCGATATTTAAAAACCATAAAATAATGTATCCGAGGATCAAGTAATTGAGAGTCAAACGTGGAATATTTATTCTTTAAAAATATTGAACGTTTTGACTCTACTTTGGAGTCATCTTCAGCATAATTAATCTCTGTACTCCTCCGAATGGTTGAAACAAAGTCACCATTTGCAAGTCAAATTTGCAGATCTGATGTGCGATCTCAAACTTCAAAGAAAAGTCATTACAACAATATAATTTAGATTAAAATTCACAAAATTATAACTTTAAAAATTAATACGTCATTCTTATAAAATAATAAAAGTTATCTCATATAAGCATAAAACAAACATAAAAGATAACTTTTATTATTTTATAAGAATGACGTATTAATTTTTAAAATTATAATTTTGTGAATTTTAATCTAAATTATATTGTTGTAATGACCTTTCTTTGAAGTTTGAGATCGCACATCAGATCTGCAAATTTGATGGTGACTTTGTCTCAAACATTCGGAGGAGTACAGAGATTATGCTGAAGATGACTCCAAAGTAGAGTCAAAACGTTCAATATTTTTAAAGAATAAATATTCCACGTTTGACTCTCAATTATTTGATCCTCGGATACATTATTTTATAGTTTTTATTACATAAATACAGACTCTCGCCTCTGACTTGACTTTGTCATCAGGGTGTCATTTCATACATATGTTTTTGTCGTACGACAAATGTGTGCAGGACAGAGACGTCTTCGGATTTCTGTATCCTATAGCTAATCAATAAGTTTGAAAAATTTATTGTACGACAAAAACGCACAAATGAAATAGCAGCCTCTGGCATTCCACAATCCCGGATCTACAATAAGTGTGGAACACCATCCTGACTCAGATTCCAGACTCATGAATAAAAATTAATCGGCAACGCTAACTCGAATTGTCAGAGTCTACAATGGTTGCGTTTAGTAGAAGAAGCAGCTTTGCAATTGTTGTAAAATTCTTGAATGTGATTGGTTTGTACTTTTAGATCCAGAAGAAGTAAGAGCAATCATGTAGAATGTTACAACAGTTGCAAAGCTGCTTTTCCTGCTGAACGCAGTTATGGATGCATCCAGAAGTACGATCACTGACTGAGTGCTCAGTGCTTTTGTACTTGCTTTTGGTCTATATATTTTTAGATGTAATGAAATATGCTAATCTCAGATAAAAAATCTCAGTGAGCGATTGTGCTTCTGGATGCACCTAATATGATTACGACTTTATTATTTTGTCCCCTCCTTTCTTTCCTCTTCCTCCCTGATAAAAAGAGTTGATAGAGAACGATAGAAAAATCCTATCATGTTTTGAATACGGAATCTGATTAGTAAATTCACTAATTTGAATCAAATCTTATAGAAATCTTGCATAAATCTTATAGAATTTTATAAAATACGATAGAATTCATAGCCGATCAATCGTGATGATCGCGAAATCGATGATAGAAAATAATATAAATGTATATAAAACAATACAAATTGATAGAAATGCTATTGTTCTTTCGTTCTTTATCAACTTTTTTATCAGGGAATTTTATACATACATAAAATTTGTCCATATATGTTCATATACATTTTTGTAAAATAATTTTTTACTGTAAAAAAAATGATATTTACGAGAAAATATTAAATATAATTGAAGGGATAATTTTCGCATTATTTGTTTTAGAAAAAAAAGTTTGGAGAAATGTAAAAAAATTGCTCATACATAATTATGTTTTTATATATAATTGTGTATAAACATTTCTTTTACATTTATCCAAACTGGATTATTTCTAAAACAGATAATACGAAAATTATCCCTTCAATTTTTTTGTTTTCTCATTATTATTTGTCATTTTTATTACACTAAAAAGTAATTTCGCAAAAGTAAAAAGGATGTATATGAATATGTATGGACATATTTTATGTATAATTATGCATGTTTATGAATATTATGTAATTACATATTCATAAATGAAGAATTTTTACAGTAAAAGATAATGTATATATTTGTTTCACGTCAATTTATTGCACCATATCACCAGTTCAAACAGTGTAGAAATAAAAACAGATTTTGCCCGTTTCCACCAATGTGGATCTCTCGATTTTCTGTCCATCTTTTTCTAATTTATAGAACTTGAAAAAGACGAAGAGCAAATTGAATCTGCATTGGTGGAAATGGGCACTAATGACATACTGGACTAAACTTATGATGCTTTTGAACGCAGCCTGTAGCAAACAATTTGTGGTGCCATCTGTCACGACAAGCGGCAACTAACTCAATGCTACGTTGTGCTCAACATCTCACGCACACTATATTACGCAGTCACACGGACGTGTCAATTTTTGTATCGTAAATTCATCGCGATAAAGTGTTTAATCCTAATTATAAGAACTCGACGTTGTTTGTTCGTGCAAACTACGTATCTGTAGACTACTTTCACGTAAGAATAGATTGCATAGCTTTCATATCAAGCAAATATTTTCACGACTTGACAGCTGAGACGCCATGTCACACTACGAAATGGTAAAAAAGGCATCAATTTTAAAATTTTTAGTCATTCTCGACATAAACACCACCTCACAGATACGTATTAATGCGTATACCTTAATTCTGTAAAAGAATTTTCGAATCTGTGAATGACAAAAAAAGTATTTACGATACAAAAATTACACGATTTTGTCGGTAATACAGACCTGCTTTAGGATCCCCTTAAGTGACATTGACGTTCCTTTGAAGGTACAGTTCTTATTACAACTTGGTGAAAAATTTGGTCTTCCTATAAATGGATACAATAAAGAAAGAACAATTATTGAATTTATTAAGCATATTGAGGGTAATATTAGGGGCCGTCCTGATAATATTGTCAATTATGTCAGAAATAATTCTATTCCCATTCTTAATAGACTTCATAACAATTTTCCTTCACCAAGTTTTATTGAAAAAAATATTTTAGAATGGTTACAATTATGGCTTAACAAAAATACACAAAGATGGCTACCCATTGAGAGTTATTGTTTCCTCTATTAACAATCCATTATATTACCTTTCCCTTTTCCTACACAACATAATTAATGGTAGCATACCACCAGCTCCTAGCCATATCAAAGATAGTTTCCACTTAGTTAACAAATTAAGAGGTACTCATTTTGATTCTCATTATGTACTAGCTTCATTAGATGTTGTTTCGCTTTTTACAATCAAAAAATTTATAAAGGAACATCCTAACGTTCTTATTACTAATGCCGACAAAGGTAATGTTACTGTTTTACTGAATAAAGATTTTTATATATCAAAGATGGAATTGATTCTATCAGACACTAATACTTACGAAATTGTCGATAAAGATCCAACTAATAAATTGACTCAAAATTTACGTACATTACTTACAAGGTGGAAGAGCAATGGTTTTATTGATAAATTTACATATAGCAAACTGCTTACAACCGATGGTATTATTCCGAGAGCTTATGGCTTAACAAAAATACACAAAGATGGCTACCCATTGAGAGTTATTGTTTCCTCTATTAACAATCCATTATATTACCTTTCCCTTTTCCTACACAACATAATTAATGGTAGCATACCACCAGCTCCTAGCCATATCAAAGATAGTTTCCACTTAGTTAACAAATTAAGAGGTACTCATTTTGATTCTCATTATGTACTAGCTTCATTAGATGTTGTTTCGCTTTTTACAAATATTCCTTTTAATTTAGTTATGGATGGCATAGATAAAAGATGGTGTCACATTTCTCCTAAGACTAAGATTCTTAAAAATGAATTCATCATTGCTGTTAGCCTTGTCTTAAATTCAACTTTTTTTACTTTTAATAGTAAATTTTATAAACAAATTTTTGGTACTCCAATGGGCTCACCTCTTTCACCAATATTAGCGGATATAGTAATGCAGGACTTAGAAGAATAAGCTGTTAATTGTTTATCGGTACAAGGTACAACCATTGTTCTATTATAGATATGTTGATGACATTGTTCTTGCTATTCCGTCTGACAAAGTTTATGACACACTTAATATCTTCAATTCTTTTCATGGAAGATTACAATTTACTATGGAGATTGGCAGTGATAACAGATTAGACTTTCTTGACATTACTATTATTATTGATAATTGCAGAATTATTTTTGACAACTTTCACAAAAAAATATTCTCAGGTAGATTCCTTAATTTCCACTCAAACCATCCTATTAATCATAAAAAAGGCATTATTATTAGTTTTATTGACAAAATTTTACTTTTATCACATCCTCGGTTCCAACAAAATAATATAACAGAAGCTATTAAAATTTTTTTAAACAATTCCTATCCTCTTTCTCTTATATTTTCTACGATTGAACAAAGAATTAAATATCATATACATAATAAACAGATCATACAGAATTTTCATGTGAAAGATAAATATTTCACAATTCCTTACGTTAAATCCATATCTGAAAGTTTCCTTCCTATTTCCAGCATGTTTCAATGTAAATTAGCCTATTCAATTTCTAACACCTTAAAAAGTTTTATTAAAAGAGGTAAAGATAAATTAAAACATTTTTCTAATAACAATGTGATTTATAAGATTACCTGTGATGATTGTGAAG